AGTCAAGGATTATGAAAATCCCATTTGATTTGGCAGTTATGAGATCATTGATAACTTTGTATAGAATATTTTCAGTTAAATGGAGTCAGCAATAGAATTGAATGAAAAGAAAGGCTATGGAGGCCAAGTACATAAATGACTTTCTCAAGAAGTTTAGCCAAAAATGGGAGGAGAGCTATAAGATGATGGCTATTGGGAATGGTCAGATTGGAAGGTTTTTAAGGATGGTGGAGACATGGGTGTTTTTGTAGGCAGATGGAGAGACTGAAGATAAGTGAGAGAATGAGAATAGTAGAATAAAGCATGGGAAGAGGCAGGAAGGGTATGATATTGTGGCATTTATATAGGAATTTTGAATTTATTGATTAAGAAAATGAAACACTTTGGGATGTGCAAGATCAAGGGTATGACCGTCCCATTTTGTATCTGAGTGAAGTGGATGACTAGGTAATGGGAGCTGAATAGATTAAATAGTTTTGAGTTAAAAGAGAGAATATTTGGGGCCCAAGAGATAACAGTGGCTAGGATCTGCAGTGAATGACAATTTTAGATAGAGGTAACTTAAAATAGGAGAGGTTGGCAATTGAGAGTCTGAAGTGTCAGTGAGGAGAAAAAAGTATTCTGACTCCTACTTTGGGACCAGAGATGTAGGGTATGAAAGAGAAGGTACAACCAGTACTGGAAAGGATGGCTACGGATGCATTTTCTAGGGGAACAAAGTCTCTGTGAATTCCAGAAGATGAAAGGAGCATGGGAGGATGAGGTCTACAATTAAGGGTAGTTGTTTAATTTTGAACACAGTGGAAGGGGTAAGCAGATCTGGAGTGGGTTGAAGGATATTTTGGAATTTGCTAGGGGAAGGAAGATATGGTTTATTGTCATGGAGATTTGATGTAGCTAGTATGGAGAGAATCAAGATAGAATGAAAATTTGTTAAACATTGGAGAATGAGTTCAGGCAAAGTGTAGCTGATTGAAGGCGGGTGAGATGCACATTCTAAATCAGATTACAACTTGAAAATTTTAGTATTTCTCTTAAATATATAATATACTGAGAAATTTCTCTTCTAAGCATTTTTTCATTTAGTCAACTTGATTTCACATTTACAGTTAGTATTACTTCTCCAATATAAGCTATAAGTTGACAATATAGGTGTTAAATTTTTTCATCAGAGCTTTTTTAAATGAAAACCACTGATGAAAAGAAAAACAATATTGTGCTGACTCGTCTTTGTTCTTGACTTTTTTATCCCTATAAGAATATGAGCAAAATATATTTCAAGAGAAAAAGGTAATTTATTTTGGCCTTAAGAATTAGATACATCGTATTTAGATAGCAAACATAATCTTAAATAGTGTTTTATTATATTTGGAAAATAATGGCTATAAATCTGTCTCATTTAAGAGCACATAAAAGTATTAATCTTACAAAATACAGTTTTTGTGAAATGGCAGAGGTAGTAACATAAACTTTAAAATGATATTTAAGATGTTCACAGCATAAAACTAAGTATAAAAGAGAAGAGTTTTTGTTGAATTTCTCCTTACATAATATACATTTAAATAGCTATGTAAAAAGTTGAGAATAAAACAACAAATTTATTAATTATTAACTTTTTTAACACATACATAGTGTTAATTTTTATGCAGCTCATATATTTTTATCAAAGGCATTTTGGCCAAAATGTTAGCTTCTACCTTTACATTTTTAAGAAACAATCCATTAGGGACATGTAGGTGGTGCAGTAGATAGAGCACCAGCCCTGGGGTTGGGAGGACCCAAGTTCAAATCCAGCCTCAGACACTTACTAGCTGTGTGACCCTAGGCAAGTCACTTAACCCCAATTGCCTCAGAAAAGAAGAACCCATTAATCTGCATGAAGGTCATATTGCTATTGATTTCTATTTAAGATGTCTGTATACTTTTCAAAAATTTTTCCCTTTTTTAAAGAAAGTTATCTAATGCAGATCTTTGTCATATTGGAATTTTACATTTTTTTTTTTTGTGGAAGTTGTTTTTTTTCAACAGGTGGAGATATAACTCCAGACTTCTGGTTTAGATACCAGAAGAAACAAGTCAAAATTGTACATAAATATAGAAGATATTCAACACCAACCACGTGTCCAAGTATATCTACTCTTTCCATTACCCTGCACTAATAAAGCTGAGAATTCTCAGCCCTGATTTTGAGACACACTAACCATACTAATGTGTGTCTCCTGCTCATTTCTCTTATCTCTCTCTCTCTCTGTCTCACACACACACACACACACACACACACCCCTCTTTTGGGTCTAGGAGACTGTGGTCTTTTTAACAAATGTTAACCCTCCTGGAAAGGCTTGTACCTTATTAGCTCACACTTTACCAACTAACTTTAAAGGAATGAACAGAAATGAAATCTAAGATCCGTGACCTGGGAGGAGAGGGAGTGATGGGGAAAAGTGGAAGAAGGCTATCAGGAGAAAAGAAAGGATCACTGATGTGAGAAGAGGTTGCCAAAGATAAAATTTGTCACTTTCTACAACCCAGGAACTATCTGTCAATAGTCTGGAAATAGTCTGAGTTGACTCCTGCCACAGAACAGTGATTCCCAGTCTGTAGGGCAGGGATTCTTAACTTTTTTAGTGTGTCATGGACTCCTTTGACAGTCTGATGAAGCCCATGGACCCCTTCTCAGAATAATGTTTTTAAATGTGTAAACACATATTATTACAAAGTAAATAATTACATTTACATTCTCAAAACATATTTTTAAACACAAGTTCGCAGACCCAGATTAAGACTGCTCCAGGGTATGTTCTGTTATTTGAAAGGATAGCACAAAATTGTCAAAACAAATTTAAGAGATAACTGGAGAAAACTTTTGGCAGAAAGTAGAGTTTACTTGAAACTTAGCCAGGAGATAGAATTCAAGGCATGGAAGGCAACAAGTGAAAATATATAGAGAAGGGAGGTGTTGCGTCTTCCTTCAAGAACAGTAAAGAGGTCAGTATCACTGGATCATAAAGTATGTGAAGGGGAATAAGGTATATGAAGCCTAGAAATCTTGATTGGAAGGGCCCTGATTATGAAGAACTTTAAAAATTAAACAGGATTTCATATTTATCCTGGTGGTAATAGGAAATCACTGTTGTTTATTGAATAAGGAAATGACATGGTCAGACCTATACTTTTGAAAGATCACTTTGAAGCACAGGGACTCCAACCACCAGGTTCTTGGAATTGTCCAGTTTTGAGGTGATAAGGACCTGGTCCAACAGTGATAGCAGTACTAAAGGAGAGAAGGGGGTGTGTAAGAGATATTGTGAAGGTAGAATCGACAGGACTTGGCAAAAAAATGTATTAGGGGGAGGGGAAATGTGTGAGAGAGTGAGGGATTGAGGATATTAGCCTTAGTGAATGGAAAGATGGTACTGCCCTCAGTAGTAATAGGGAAGAGAGAAAAAGAGTAGAGTTGGGGGGTGGGAGGGGATAATGAGCTCAGTTATGAATATATTGAGTTTAAAATGTCCGTAGGACATCCACCTTAAGATGTCCTTATAGGCAATTGGGTTTGTAAGACTAGAAGTCAGGGAAGAGGTTAGGGCTAGGTAAATAGATCTGAGCATCCTGTGCATTGAAATGATTATTAAAACCATGGAAACTGATGAGATCACCAGGCAAAATGAACAGTGTAAAGAGAGCAGAGAAAGCAGAACAGGACTGAGCCTTGGGAGACACCCACAATTAGTAGACATAATATAGATGATGATCCAAAAAAGCTAGGAGAATCAAGAGAGAGAGATCATTGTCACAAAAACCTAAAGAGAAGAAAGTATCAGAGACAAGAGAGTGATTTGGCAGTGTAAGAGGTTAGAGAGAGGGCAAGAAGGATGAAGACTGAGAAAAGGCCATTATATTTGCAATTAAAAGATCATTAGTAACTTTAGAGAGCTGTTTCTCTTGAATGACAAGTATGAGTTCCGAAGACAGGCTAAAGAGAACTAAGAGTAAGAGGAAAGGAAATGGAAGCACCAATTGTAGGCAGCCTTAAGTAGTTTAGACATGAAAGGGAGGGGAAATACAAAACAATCACTAATTGGGGTGGCTGAGTCAAGTGAGGTTTTTTTTTGAGGCTGAGTGAAACCTGGATGTCATTGTAGGCAGCAAGGAAGTAGCCATTAAACAAGGAGTGATGAAATGCAAATCTCTTGTACATGTAGAAGAGTTTACTTTTGCAAATAGAAGGGCCACCTCTTCATAGAGATGGGTGAAAGAGGAGAGAGTGGGAAAAGAGATCTGAGTGAGATGAGGAGGATGGGGAAAGAGAAAGATCTTAGACAATGGCTTCAATTTTCTCTGTGAAATATGAGGCAAGTTTCTCATATTTTTAGGAGGGTGTTGGGAGAAAGAGCCATAATTGGTTTGAGAAGGGATGAAAAGGTTTGGAGAAAACTTTGTGGTGAATGGGATAGTGAATCATTTATGGAGGATTGCCTTACCACAGTTAGGGCCAGTATACATGTTTTCATTTTCTCCAGTTTGATTCATCAGTGTATGACTAGGAATGAAAGCAGAAGATAATGAGAGTAATCTAAGACTAAGGCTTGGCAAGACAAGATTGATAATAGGATAAAGGGGAAAGGAACTCAAGATTCTTAAGTGGATGGTATAGAGTTGAACTTGTTGACTAACTGTTCAAGATGGGGAAGGGAGGAGAGTGTAGCCAGTATAAAGTGATGCTCTGGGTAAGAACTAGACCTGGGAGGGTGGGAGAAGGGAAAAGTGATTCTCTGGGAAAGAACTAGGGCTGGGGGGTGGGGTGGGAGGGAGGATGATAAGATGTCACAGTGAAGACAAAGAACGCTGAAAAATACTGAAAACATTCATTTCTTGCATGTAATTACTTCAGAGAATATTTCATTCATGTGAAAGAAATACTATGATTTCATTTAAGGTTTGGTTAGGTAAACTAGATCTTGTGTTATAATTTTAGCCATTTCCTATTATTTTTGCAGATCCCCAAGTAAACCTTTGGCACGGAAATTAATGGATTGGGAAGTAGTGAGTAGGAATTCATTATCTGATGAAAGATTAGAAACACAAAGTTTACCATCACGCTCTCCACCTGGAACACCAAATCAGTAAGTAAAATAGGACCTCAGGATTGCATTAGTATGAACCTATTTATGAATGCTATCCAGCTCCCAAAGTACAATGTAGGACTACAATTTTAGCTAATCATACTGTATATTTATCATTGCATAAATCATCTGCTCTGGCTCCATAGTTCCCATTCTGTCATTAATAGGTGAAAAAGACTCTTATCCTTTCTAATATAATTGAGTTAACACCGTTGGTGACCAACTACCTACCACTAGAGCTCAAGGCTTTACTTGGTAGAACTGCAAGTTAGTTGATGTTGTCATGCCCTCTCTCTCCTAGGGAAAGGCAATCAGCTGTCAGCAGCTCCCATTATCGGTATCCTACTGCCCCTACTCAAAAGTGATCTCATAGCTTCAGAATAATTAAGAATCTCTTTTTAAAAGCTTGGGAAATCAAGGGGCAGCTTGGTGGCACAGTGTATAAAGCACTAGCCTTAGATTCAGGAGGACCTGAGTTCAAATGCGGCCTCAGACACATAACACTTAGTAGCTGTGTGACCCTGAGCAAGTCACTTAACCCTATTGCCTAGCCAAAAAAAAAAAAAAAAGAAAGACACACACCTGTGATGTTATTGGTCCTGTTCAAAAACAAAGGATGAACGAAAAGCTTGGGAAATCTGACTTACACTCTTCAAATTACCCCCAGCTCCTCACTGTCTTCATTATTATAAACTTTCTAAGATGAGTTTCTGCCCTATGAAAGTCAAACTTTAATTTTTGTTATCATTTGTACATACACCCCCCCACACACACACACACACACATGCATCTGGATAATGATCAAGCCATTGAAACTTCATATAACAACAACATTAAAAAAAAAAAGTTTGAGCCACCTTAAAGGAAAATGCTTACACTTCTTCTACACACAGAGTCACGTTTTCACAATGTTGGATTCACTCAAAAAAGTGAGGGATGGGATGGAGAGAGGGGAGCTGAGCCACACAGTTTTGAAACTGTATACATATGTATATGTACATACACACATATAATAAAAATATTTAATAAGTAGAAGTTTAAAACATCAGTGATATAATAACATGTTCATTTCAGTTATTGATGTAAGTACTAAGAAAATGAAACCAGCAATATCCAAAAAAGCTTTTGCACACTTAGAATCTTTAACTTTTTAAAAGAAAACTTTTTGGTATAACTTCACAGTTTAGAAAAATTTTCAAATTAAAAGTTAAAAAAATTTTTATGCAACTTTTATTTAGTCGCAACTCTGCATTTACACAAGAGGGAACCCGACTACGACCATCTTCAGTTGGACACCTGGTAGACCACATAGTCCACACCTCTCCAAGTGAAGTTTTTGTGAATCACAGATCTCCATCATCAACACAGGCTAATAGCATCATTCTGGAATCATCACCGTAAGTTCTTAATTTATTCAGTTTTTTCACCAGTATTTTCTTTAGTGTTTCAAATTCTGTAAGTTAAGTAGCATTAAAATTGAAGTTACCTAAATGTACAGTTTAATTTACATATTACTTGATATTTATAGAAACTGTGTACCTCATATGAGTTTGTATGTCAGGGTTCATATTACTACAGAATTTGTAATTTTTCTGTCATTTCATTGACACAGATTGCATCTGAATAATGATTAACCACTCCTGTGTGTTTCTGGGCATAAAGCAGCACAAAGGGGAGAAGTAGCCAGAGTAAAGGAGCTCTACTCTTTTTATAAGCGTCAGACGGTGGAAAGAGTTGTGTCAGAAAAGTGTTCAGTAGCCAAGGAAAATAGGAGGAAGTGGTCTTCTCACTCCACCTTGAGAAGAATCAGTTATTCAGAATATTTAGACTTAATACATAAGTAAATATATCTAGCCATTCCTATATGATCATAAAACCTTGTATATGCTGACCCAATACAATTACCTCTTCAACCTGTGCTCTAATACAGTCACACCTACATATCACAAAATTTAAATACTAATTTACTAACTCATATTATATATCATCAACACAGACTAAGAGTGTTCCGGAATCAGCATAAATTCTTAATCCATGTCTATGAAAAAGAGTGCAGAGAGTCCTTGAGGAGGAGAATGGAAAGGCTTGATTTGTGCTTTAGGAAAATCAGTGTGGCAGCTGTGTGGGTAAGAGGATCAAGATGGAAGAGTTAAGGCAAGTAGACAAATGAAGAGATTATTGTAACTGTCCAGGAGAGGTGAAATGATAAGTACCTTTGTCACTTGGGGTGGAAGCCAGAGTAAAGAAATGGAGCAGTTATAAGAGATTTTTGTAATGGTTACATTCCTGATCTCATGAGCTCCCATGGGTTCATCTATGGCTCTATGCAGATAATGCCAAGATTGGTATATTTAGTCTTGAGTCTGTGTCATGAGCTCTAGTCCCAAGGCCCAACAGTATTTGGCAATTTCCATCTGTTTGTTCTGTAGGTGTCTTAAACTCAGCATTTCTAAATGAGAATTCCTAACTTTTTTACCTTTACTCCCAAACCCTCCCTTCTCTGCCTAATTTTCTTATTTCTATTAAATACACCACCATCTTTTGAGGACCACAGGTTTACAACCTAGGAACCATGCTTAATTCTTCCCTTTCCTTCTGTATAGACACCAAGGTTAATCAAGTTTCAAGAAGAATTAGGAAGCAAAACTATTATAGTTGGAGATCTCAATGTTCATTTCTTCAGACCTAAACAAATTAACAGAAGTTCAGCAATAAAGAAGGTCAGGACCCAAATTAGATTTGATTATGTGCTACAACATATAAACCTCATAAATGCAGAAATACTAAAGACATCTTTCAGTTATTATAGTGAAGTAAAAATTATAATCAGCAAAGATCATTTGAAGAAAGCACTAAAACTTAAGTGGAAAGTAAAGAATTTAATCTTATAACATGTTAGCAAAATGTCTGTAAATTTAATTCAACAAGATCTGTCACATGCCTATGATTTGCAAAGTTCTTTCTTTAGAACCCGATGCTCTCCCTCAGTCTGAGTACTATGAAAGTAACTTGGGTTTTGTTTATTCGATTTTTAATGCAAGAACCTATTTGAACTTCAAATAAGAAGCATAATGATATAGTGGAAAGAATTCTGGACTTGTGTTCAAACCCCTACTCTGACATTCACTGGGTGACCATGGAAAAGTTATTCTAAGTCTCCTTTCCTGAGTGTAAAGTGGGGTGATTGTACTCCATCACAGTGTTACAGTGATCAAATGAATTAATAAATGTAAAAGCTCAAAGTGCTATATATAGTAAATTATTATTACTAATTACTTTATTCCCTCAAAGTAAAGCAATATCTTTTTTTGGGAGGGAGTAATTAGGGTTAAATGACTTGCCCAGGGTCATACAGATAGTAAGCATCTGAGACTGAATTGAACTCTGGTCCTCCTGACTCCAGGGCCTGACTCCATTGCTCTATCCACTGCACCACCAAGCTGCCCTAAGCAAGTTCAAACATTACTGACCTTACTACTAATTTAATACTAACAGCTTGTGTGCTACAGACTGTTTTTCTGTAGTATTCTGCGCATATTATTTTGAGGAACTCAAATATGTAACAAGAAATGTGTGAATTCCATAGCTTTGTGAATTCCTAGAGGGCAGAGTGATTTTTATTTTTGTCTTTGTATCCCTGGCACTTAGCATAATGGTTTACATATAAATCCCTGTTGAATTGAGTTGAATTCCTTAAGGTTTATCCTTTTGCTAAATCTGAAAAGAATGCAAACAAATTATTACATAAAGGATAGGATAATACACCAAAAGGAGAATATCTGAATCGCCTAGGACATTTGGTTACTGATGAGGCCAGGGTTCAATTCCTTTACATGCCACCTAGTTTTACATAGGGAAGGACTAACTTTACCTTTAATTCCAACACATTATTCCCTCTTAACAATTTCTCAGATCAGGAGCTAATAAGTACATTGTAAATAAATTCATTTACTTTACTAACATTTATTAAATTCCTATGTTATGAAAGTACTCAGTTCAGTTATATTTCACTTCATTTATAAGTTTAAATTTTATTTTGAAACAGTATTTTAGATTTATGTGCAGTGTCTTTCAAGGAATTCTAATTTGCCTCATAATAGCCATATTTATATGGTACTTAGTTTACAGAATACTTTCTGTATAACCATGAAAGAAGTAGCAATAATAATACCTGACATTTAGATTTATAATTTACAGGGTGCGTTTTACCCAGTAGCTTTGTGATGTAGGTAGTGCAAGTCCTATCCTTGTTTTACACATAAAGAAATTGAGACTGAGGGAGTTTGAGTGAATTGGTCAGTTTCATAGCTATTAAGCAGCAAAACTGGAACTTCTAACTTAAAGTCTAATTAGCTCAATCCATTATACCAGGTTATCTTTATTGTGTTTATGTATAATTTCAATCTTGTGGTATTTTCAGAAGTAGAGAAGTGGTTCAGGTTTTACAGATAAAAAAAATAAAGCATTAAATATTGTGATTTAAGATCATGTCACACAAAGGTAGTAAAAATGAAACCAGAACATGGGTCTTTTGATTCCAGATTTAGTATTCTTTTCACTAACTTATACTTCCTTCCTTTGCATACTTTGGGAGTGTTGGAAAAGGGAGATGATGATGGATGGATGGATGGATGGATGGAAGAGAAAGTTCATAGTCAACCTTTCATTTGTTTGGTTAAACAAAGAATCAGATAGGTGATTTCTTGTTTTACTTAAAGATATCTATAGTAGATAAGTTTAATGAAACATTGCATTAGTAATGATTACCATATTACCTCTAGCACTTCATTCTAAATATTACTGAGATCTGTCATTTCCTTTCTTGTCCTGTGACTACTTGAACAGCAAGTTAGAATGTTTCAGTTTGTAATTTATTGAAATAATCCACAGCATGAATTAATTTAAAAATACTTAAGTGTTTGTTTCAATAAAATCACACTACAAATATTAACATATTCCTATGAGTATGTAAGAAAGATCACTGTTTCTGTAACAAAACAAAAAAGAACCAACATTTCTCTTGTTACGGAGGAAGTTGGAAAGGAATCTGTAGACAGTCAAGTCTCAGCTAAAATCCCACCTTCTATAGGAAGCCTTTCCATATCCTTAATACCAGTGCCTTTCTTCTGTTGTATATTCCCAATTGATCTACTCTCTTTCATACGTAGTTGTTTACATGTTGTATCCCTCATTAGATTGTGAGCTCTTTGAGAGCAGGAACTATCTTTTGCTTTTCTTTTTCTCCCCAGAGTTTAGCACAGCACCTGGCACGTAATAGGCACTTAATAAAGGTTTGTTGATTGTAGACTGTGATGCATATTATTGAGAGCAATAACCCATAAAACTGCTTTGATTGAAGACCAAATTGCTTGGACTGCTGTTATTTACTCATTCATAGGGAAATTCAAAGCTGACTAGACACCTATAAAAGAAAATGAGTTTTGCCCATTGATAGATTGTCAGTTAACACAATTCATTATGCTAATATATTGCAGTACATTATGGTGTTGCATCTATTTTTACAGAGTGAAAACCCAAATATAAAAGCCGAACATCTTGAACCATTTAAAGATATTTTTCTTCTTTTATATCTCCACCTTCCTTACAATCAAGAGTTATTATGTAATAAGGTACATAATACTTGGTCTGTAACTTTTATAGTATAGATAAATATGTTTTCTTTTAAAAAATTAAAGATTCTAAGTATGCAAATTTTTTTTGGATTTTCCTGGTTTCATTTGCTTAATACTTATATCAATAACTGAAATGAACATGTTATTAAATAACTGACATTTTAAACTTTCTACTTTTAAAATATTTTTATTATATGTGTGTATGTATATAGTTTCAAAATTGTGTTGCTCAGCTCCCCATCCCTCCCTCACTTTTTTGAGTAAATCTAACATTCTGAAAATTCTACACTCTATGTGTAGAAGAATTGTAAGCATTTTCCTTTAAGGTGGCTCAAACATTTTTTGCTATTGTTGTTATATGAAGTTTCAGTGGCTTGGTTATTATCCAGATGCAGCTCTGGGGTGTGTGTGTGTGTGTGTGTGTGTGTGTACAAATGATAACAAAAATTTTGTGTTGGTAAATATTGTGTAACACACCTTTCGAGTCCTATTTAACTCAAATAAAATAGTATTTCACCTTACCCATAGAAGTATACTAGCTACATATTAACCAATATATAAATGAATGCCTGTCTGAAATTTCAATTGAGTTCAGAATGTTTGTGTAGTAGAATGTATCGACACAAAAAACACAGTAATTTAATTTATGATGAAGGGGATGGTTTCAGAAAAACCCAGAAAGACTTTTAAGACATGATGCAAAGTGAAGTAAACAGAACCAGAACAGTTTATGCAACGACATTGTAGAGACAAACACTATTGAA